TTTGAATTTTCGGTCACTATTATTTCGAGTTCCACGCCAAGCTGCGCTTACCACCGTGCCATCCTTCCCTTTATTCTCGACTGGGAATAAAGCTTATTCTCGACTGGGAATAAAGGCTAATCAAGGCTTGACAACAAGCCTTGATTAGCCTTGACCAATGGACATTTGATTATTTTCAATAGATGACCGGTGAAACTGTGACTATTTCCAATAAACAAATGATGATCAGTGCGAGAAATCTCTGATTTTTACTTTATTTTTTTTTATAGCCTGACTTTTTTGTCCACTTTTTAATACCTGTTGTCTTCTAGTTGGTGGTACTCAGATAATGTTGTCCAATCACAAACTAAAGACTGATACCGGCTGTCAGTGATTTGTAAAATCAAAAATCATTTACCAAAATAAATCCCAAAAATCCCATCAATTCTGAGCCTACTAAACCAGAAAGCCAGTTTAACAAAGCAATCGGATAACTGCCTTTCGTTTGCAAACCGTCATTTCAGAAGTTTGAAAAGCTGCCTTCTCTTGGTCCTTTATCCAAATCGTTAGGATTACCTTATCGGCGATGTTAGGGTTAGCTTTCAGTCGATGAAGGATTTTCAAGGCAGCAATATTGCCTTTGGAGGAAGCCTCATGAAGTGGTGTCCACCCAACGGCATTTACTGCATCCACATCAGTTCCATCAAAATTGACCAGCAGCTGCAGCATATCGGTATTATCGGACCGGCATGCAACATGCATTAAAGTATCGCCGTTCGCATTCACCTGCAAATCGATTTATTTCTTTCATATCATTCAAAATATAATCAGTCGAGTCTCTCAGTTACAGAGCCGACCTCACAATGCTATTTGATTAGAATCGGAAATCGATTTTTTACGCGAGATATGAGATGATTAACACTGTTCCGTCTTTGTAAAGATTTTTTTCGAAAATTTGGTTTTGATAACAGGATTTTTCATTTTTTCCTTTTTTTATTCCCACTTTTTTATTTCTAGCAGTTTATAACAAAATCTAATCGTCGCACTATTAGGGTCAGTTCTGGCGTTGAACAGGAATTTATGCAACTTGGTGAAGGCTAAGTCTCGCATTAAACGCCAGCGAGAAAAAAAAAACAAGTTTTCCTATCGGATTTCGCTCTTCCTCCTCCTCGCCACAATGTTCTAAAGCCATACATTGTCAGAAAGCTTTACTTCATTCAATATGTTTCGAAGTTACAATTGGCAGCTTAACAGCCTTCAACTCAAAAGTCAGAATCCGTTCCGTGCCTACTCTTTCCGAGGGTCGATTGTACTCGCGT